ATTGAGAACAGTCAGTGCTATACCATGCAGGATATGGCTGACATACTCAAAATATCCACATGCATAAAGTTACTGGTGAAAATGAAAAATGTGTCTTTTACAGACTTTTTGGCCAACCCAATATTTGTTTCTTCAGCTATGTAAAATAAACTTATTAGTTTTCTCCTCTGATTATTACCTTTAAGGCTTTGAAGTCTAAACAAATTGTAATCCATGTATTTAGGAGTTAGTCTTGGTTGTGCTGTGAATATTAATAGAAGGTCCACATTACTACAAGCCCTTAATGTAAAATATAAAGTGCTCTTAGTATTCTGTGTGAAACTGTATTGTTAAACACACATGTGCAATTTTTAAAGATGGTAGATCCCTAAATAAAACCAGGATTCTTTAAGGAGGGGATAAGGAGTGTGTGTGTGTGTGTGTGTGTGTGTGTGTATGTTGGGTTGGTGTTGGTAAGGCAACCAGCAGAGTTGGATACGAGTTTGATGTGGCACCTTTTCAAATATGATTGGTCATTTCTTATACTTTCCTATTGCCTGGAAGTATTGTTAAGTGTGTCTTTTATTTTTCTTCAAGTGTAGCAAGAACTGTGACCAATAATCCCAACATCTGAAGTCTTTCCTTGAGGAAGGATTGATGTTTCTTCTGTCTGCAGGCTCTCCCTCATGGTGCCATCCCTCCTGTGCACTCAGTTGCTTTCTTGCTTTATTATTGTCTACCTTTCATTAAAAACATTCTTTTTTGAAGTCTAGGGTAAAGGAGAATTCCTCCAGAAAACATATGCATTTTCTTCTGCCAAAGCCCTGGGAAATTACCAGCCCAATATTAAATTGAATTCATAATTTAATAAAAATTTGGGGTTGCAAACCCAGCCACCAGAGGGGGACTTAAAGTGTTTTTAAGTAAGGCATTCTAAAGCACTAGCCCACTCAGGTACAAGGGAGGCAGGTGGAGCACAGAGCACTTGCTCGCTCCAGACTAGGAGTAGTACTGGTTGAAATGAACGTCTCTGTATTTATTAAATTTGTAAGGATCAGGTAGGACAGGATTCATGTTTAGGGAGTGACCTTGAGTCAGGAAAGGTAAAGGGTGACTTAGACATCTGAGCATGACAGCAACATTTAAAGTAGTTTCACATTTAAAGAGCTGTAGAAGAAATAGACAGCCATCACTTGGGAGGGTTATGGGGAGCAGCCTCTTCGGGTGGAGGAGGCTTCCATTGGAGCAGGAAGGGAACATTGAGTGAAGAGGCCGAGGATATAGGCCATTTTACCAGTCGTGTTCCAGAAGGCTTAGTCAGAGGGTCTCAGGGGTTGTACAGGGAGACAAAGGCAGAATTTAGGATGTGCTGAACCTTATGAGCATTAGAGCAATGGAGATGAGACATGTACTTGATGTTCTGTGGCTGTTTGTGGCAACTGTTCTAAACAGGCAGGAAGGGTTTAATGAGATTAACATTGAAAGACTCGAGACACAAAGGGCTGGGAAAGCTGTGAGTGTTTGGGGATAAGAGAGTGGCTATCTATGCCTTGCTACGGGCCCTCAGTGATGGAGGTGAGGACAATGGGAGAGGTGTGGCCTTGGTCCAAGCGTATGAGGCTCTCTCTAGACCTCTGTTCTGGAAGCTGCATGTTACTCTGAACTTGGAGGGCTAGCTGTCCATGACACCTCACTGTAGCTACTGAAAGGGGATGGAAAACTAACATTTGTTCTATGCCCACTGTGTGCTTCTTGTGTATGTTACCAAGTTTAATGACCATGGCATCTGTACTTAGTGTAATTATTTTTATTGAAACCACTTTGCAGATGTGAAGACGGATCTTTGATACTCTTAGGTGTTTGATGGCTTGCTGTCTAGCATCATGAGCAGACATTGCACAGAAAAATAAGATTCCTGATTTGTTGGAGGGTGGCGACTTTAGATCACTGGGATTTTGTGGGAACAGGGCAGGTGTCTTCTCTACCCTCCACCAGTTCCCATAAGACGAGTGTTTTTAGGAGAGAAGGAAGTCTTACAATGAAGGTGTAAAGAAGACTACTCTTTTTTCTTCTCTTTTTATCCTCACCCAAGGACACTTTTTTTTTATAACCTTTTTTAGGAAGAGAGGAAGGGAGGGTGAGAAACTTTGAAGTGGGAGAGAAAATTAATGGGTTGCCTTCTGCATGCACCCAGACGGGGTATCATACACGCCTAGACTAGGGATCGAACCTATAACCTAAACATGTACCCTGACCAGAAATCGAACTTGCAGCCTTTCAGTTACTGGTTGATGCTCCAACCAACTGAGCCACACCAGACAGGGCAAGAAGACTATTATTGAAACTGGAAAAGTCAGTGTTCAGGCTGCTTGTCACTACCAGAACCAATAAATAGAGACAAACATTGAATCTTTACAGGCACTTTATTCAGATGCTGCCATCTGAGAAGATGGGGGGTTATGTATCCTAAAAACTGTCTTAACATCTCTTCTTAAGCCAACCTTTTTTATAAGGAAAAGAAAAGGGTAGGTAAGGGGTTTGGGATTCGGGGGAAAGGTCAACCAGACAAAGGTTGCAGTCTGGCAATTTTCCTAGCATCCTTTCATCTTCTGACCAGCCATTCTTTATCTGCATCCCTGGGCAGAAAACGTTCTCTCCCTGGAGCTCAATGGCTCAGATATCATCTTGATCACTGTTCTCCTGGGGCACGAAGGTTGAATTGTTTACAGTTCTCCTGGAGTGAGAGTAGGTCCTGTCATACATCCCAGTTCCTGGAACGACAGCTTTCTAGATGCATTAATCACTAAGCCTATTAACTGTAACTAAAGCTAAAAATTTTTGAGTGCTAAACCCGACAGGCCTGGGGTCAAGGGGTATTTCAGGAGGGACCCTAGCATGAGAGAAGCTCTGGAGGGAAGGCCAAGGAATTTATGCATACATTATCATGAAAAAATGTTTGCTGTGCTCCAAAGGCACAACACTGAAATACCCTCCTCTGACACAACCTGGTCTTAACTCAGACATTTCCTGCAAACACAGGATCAGGGATTTTCCCACAGGAACTGTTATCTTCAAGTGCATCAAGACATGAAAATTTGGCAGCTAGAAAAATGTATACACTTCTTTAAATGTCTTCCATGGGCAGCACAGGGAAAGATCATTTTTAAGGTTAGTTCCATCACTTGGAGAAACAATCTGCTATTCTGTGACATTTGGGGGACATCAAGTTCTCAGAGAGTATCCACTTGAGAACTCAGTGAATTACCAGCACAGTTTGCAGATGAGAGGTCAATTTTTTAATATATAATATGCAGGCAATCTGGATAAGATTTATGATTTTTTAAAATTTAATAGTTTTATTTCCAATGTTGGATTTATAGGCACTCCCATGGGGTATATTTTTCTTCTTATGGTAACAACACAATTTCAACCCAAGTAATTATTTAAGTAATTCATTTATTCAGAAGAATCCATGAAATGCAAATGAGCATGTTCCCTAATTACCATTTCACCTGACTACCTTACAGCACCAGTCCTGGTTGCAACACTGCATAGCCTTTAACCAAAACAAGACCCAGGCAGGCTTTCAAAGAACAAGCACGTGTGGGCTCAATGGGATGCGAGAATCCGTACCAGGGATTATCTCTATTTTCTTCTCTCTGCCAATTTGTATCACGAATAGTGGAAGGTGCCCAATTCATCCCCTTCCCGACACATGTACATGTAATATTTATATTTATATCCACACCCCAGCCATTACAATCTTCCAGGCATATTTACACAAATAGAACACACTGGCGCACAGACGGTGTGTGAGTTACATCCACTGCAGCCCGAAAAGGGTGCTGTGCTCTGTCTCACTTGGGGTCACCCATCATAAATAAGGCACCTGCCTGTGCGGCTGCTTCCCACCCCGCAGGGGTTCCGTGTGAGCGTGCAGCTGGCACCTTCGGAGACTTGGGAAAGCCCAGCTACCCGCAGCATCTAGGTGGTAGCTCGGGAGGTTGGGGTGGAGGGAGTGGAGGGGTGGAGGAGAGGAAGGGACAGGGCCCGAGGTCCGAGGAGGCGAGGAGGGCGACACCCCCCGAGCAGCAGCAGCGGGGTGGCAGAGCCAGCCTTGGGTGTGACCTCAAGGGGGCAGAGTTCTCCAGAGCAGCCAGGCCCCGCCGCTTTGGCACGCCGAGCAGTGAAACGTTTTTGAGAACACAAGGAAAATTCCCAGTGGGTTTTTAATATTCGGTAGCGCCCCCTCCTGCCCTCCGCCCAAAGAGCCGCTTCCAATGACTGCCGGTGAGTCGGGCTATCTGGCCCTACCTGGCATTGAGGAGACCCCCCAGACACTCTGCAAAGTTTCCTCCAGTTTTCTCCTACAGCTCCCCAAGCTTTTCCCTCCACCCGTGTGCCTGCGTGGGGGTAGGGTGTGGGCGGAATGGTCAATCTAGCCCTGCCTGGTGGCTGCCCAGAAGCCGAGTCAAAGCTAACAGGTCAGTCCCAGGCCCAGAACTGGGGGCAAGCTCTTGTTAACCTGGCACCAGCCAGGCTCAGTACTCAAAATTCTTGGTCTCCTCAGGACAGACTAGGGGCGCGGACCGCAGGTGCGCAAGGCACAGTCACTCCGTGAGTAATTAAGGAGTAGTGCCCCTTTCCTTCCCTCTACCACAAACTCAGAGTCCTGACGTCCCCATAAGTATCTGCCACCTAGGTGTGGGTTTACCCTCACCCCAATCCCGCGGCGCGGAGCCCCTCTGCACCCCGACTTTCCGGAGCGCTACAGCTGGCCCGGAACGGAGTGGCGCGCGGTTCCCCCGCCTCCAGCGCACGCCGTGACTCCAGCCCCGCGCTCCGCTCGTACTCCAGCCACGCCGCCGCCCGGCACTGCAGCGCCCAGGGAGGAGGCGCGGGCGGAAGAGGGGGAGGAGGACCGCAGCGTGCCAGCCGGGAGCCACTTTCCCGCCCCTCCTCTCGCCGCTGACACGCTCGGAGGAGTCACCACTCCTGCGCTGCAGGAGACAGTGGCAGACGGAGGCGGCCCTGGGGAGCGAGCCAGAGCGACGCCCGGGCGGCAGCGGCTGCAGCGCAGACAGCACCCAAGGCAAGGGGATCCCTGGCGCCTGGAGCGGTGAGTGAGGGACCCCGGGATTTCCCGAGGCTGCTTAATTTTCTTTTCAGACCCAGAGGATAGACGCTGCAGCCTGTGGGGAACTTTTTGCATCCTTGTGGAAGCGCAACTTTGCCCCGCCTGCACACGAGGGAGCGGTTGCTGGCGCCCGGTGCTGCCTGGCCGGGCGCTTTGCTGGGGCCGGACAGTTGAAGTGGGGTGTAGCGGACGGAGTGACACTCCCCGCGCCAGGTGCCCGGGGTAGGTCAGGGGACGTGGGCTCACCACTTACGTTGAATTCCGGGAAGAGGCAGGTGGGCAGCAGCGGGGATGCGGGACCGTGCCCTCCTTCTGCCCGGACCTACACGATCCCTTGTTTGTCTGGTTTAGTTCGATCGGTCGGGGAGGCTGATCCCAAACAAGCAGCTCTGAGCTGCTGACTGGGTGTCTGCAGGACCTCCATCCTAGCTTTGGGCTCAACTTTCCGGCGGGGATCCCTCTGCAGACGTGAGGGCGGCGGGAGACAGGCAGCCGCACTGGGCGCTGCGGAATCTAAAAACACTGGGAATTTAAAAACTACTCCACGTTAAGTCCCCGACGCTCCTGTCTATTGTCTACGAGAGAGGGATGGAGAGAGGGAAACCCGCGGGGCTGTGGCTGGAAGTGCCTGCAGCTCACCACACTACGCCTGCATTCAGCAAAACCCTCCCGAGCGCCCACTGTGCTCCACCCAGGTGCGGCTAGACAGACAAATGAGAGCGAGGCGCGGTGGGGGGAAAGACCCATCACCTGTAAACAATGCACCGAGATGATTTCGGATTGTGGTGAGGGCTGTGGAAGAGGTCACCAAATCCATCCATCACTGATCCTTCTTATTAGAGGGCTCCCCCCTGGGTTCTAGAACTGGGAAGACTTCGAGCGTGTCGCGGGGAGCGCCCCCGGCTGGGCCCGCGAAGACTGCGGAATACGGTGATGAACTTGGCATGGGGCGGTGGGAACCCCGCCGCAGATGCACGACCCAGAGCATTTCTGTGGGCACCCGGGCACCTCAGGCGCCCGGCACGCGGGGGCGGAGCGGGAGGGGCTGAGTCAAAGGGGCTGAAAGTGCCGCCTGGATGGCCCGAGCGGGGGACGCTCGCGTCACCCGCTACGTGTGCGAGTGATGCAAATGCAGACCCACGAGGGGCAGGCGGGGTGGGCGGTGCAGCGTGGGGGTGGGGGAGGCGGTGGAGTCTCCGTCTGGGAGCGCGCGCGTGTGTGTGCGTCAGAGGCTCTCGGGTGATGGATGCCGGGCGACCCCGCGGGCAGGCAGGGGCGGACGGACTGCGGCGGGGGCCGCGGCGGCTCGGAAAGCCTCGCAGGACCCGGCTGCGGGCTGACAGCCTGCTCCGCAGTGCGCCGCAGTGCCGGGAAGGCGCCTCGGCGGCCGGGCGCTCTCCGGGGAACCGAAGAGATGGAGCGTCTTTTAAGGCTCCAGGACAGGGACCCGTTGGTAGGGACCCGATGGTCTTGGTCTCCTCTCTCTTCGGACCTCCTCCCTGCATTTTAGCTGACAGTGCGAGAAAGTTGTTTCAGTTTAATTCTTGTCCTTAATCCTGGAGGAGAATTTGGCGTTAATCCCTTCCGGCGTTCAGCCGTTTTCGGGGCAAGCTCCGAAGGGCCTCGTGCTCGCGGCAAGTTTTCATGTGAAAGCTTCGATGCTGAGGTTCACGAGGGGAGCGGGGCTGACCCATCCCTTCACCACCCTTCAGTTTTGTCAGGCGGCGCGGTCTCCAAGGGGAGCTCGACAAAGGCTTGCAAGACAATGTGTCGCATTCTTCCTTTCTAACGAAAAAAAAATGTGTGTTAAAAACAGCACGACAAATGCATTCCCTAGTAGACCCACGTTTCATTATATGTGTTATCATTATCATTATTATTATTATTATTTAAAGACCCCACTTTCTGGAGATCTAATGGCAAAGGTTTTTCTGCTGGCTTGACTGAGTCCAAACATGCAGTATGTGTGGCAAAAGGAATGAAAGAGGGAGGGGCGGGAAAGGAAGGAAGAAAAGCAATTATCACCGAGCCCAGAGACAAAGGTCCTAGTTCGCACTTGCCCACGCATTATGTTATGTCACCTTGGGCAAGTGACTTACCCTCTCGGGTTCACAATGCCCATTTGAGACATGTGGAAAATAGCCCAAACCAGCTTCTATTACAAAGTTGTTTTGAGGACAAAAGAGATGATCTCAGAGAGATTTGAACATGCAAATTCTTTACGAATGGAAAATATTATGAAACAAGTCCCTTTAAGGGAGAAAAGAACAATTTTGTCTTAAAAAATTCTGGAGACTTCCCTAAGCATTGTTCCTTTAATGAAATTTGGCCTTCAGAGTCAGCAAATGTAGACAATAGACTTTTCCTAACAGTGTAATGTAAAATCAAATGCCATTAGCTGCTGTTTGGAGAAAGAAAGGGAACAAAGAAAAGTCTGGATTGCATCTGAATGTTCTGGTGATGTAGTAGAGAAATCAGATTTATCTTTTATGACTTAATAACAGTAAAAGTAGCTTCACTGGTCTGAACAGCAGACTAGCCTAAGAGCTTTCTGGGAAAAATCCCACTCATCATTAACTCTAGAATATTCCTTAAATGTGGAAGGTGCCTCAGAGAACAGGATGCAATTTCTGTCCTCAAGGCGATAACCGCAAAGGGCACCTTAATGTGCAGTGTGTCACGTGACTGCAAGTACCAGGAAATGCATTTCCTGTAATTAGGGATATTACAGTGGCTCCTACTCTGAGGTAAGCTTGTTGTCATATTTCATAAATAAAAACATCTGCTTTGTCAGAAAGCCTTCCAAACCAGCTCACTATGTTGTTATTCATGTTGTTCATACAAATGGTCAATTTCTGGAACTAGTGAAAGTAAAATGCCTCTTTTTATTCCATGAGGCCGCCTCACGGGAAATCCTAGGATTCACCACTATGCTTCTTGGTTCTGTATTCCTGAAATTTCTGTCTGACCCATGGTTTAGAACGTGAATATCATGGCCAATTAATTTCACACAAAGGTATCGATTTTATAAAATCTGTTTGCAAACCAAGGAGAGGCGGCTCCCCAGCTGTGTGCAATTTGGGGACAACATCAATGAATTGTTTTTTGTTTTGCTTTGCTTTTCAATTCCAGCCCAACTGAGCAACCAGAGTAAAATGTTGCAGTGGATAGAATTTGGAGCTTTATTCTTTATTTGAGGCAGCTTAGAGTATCCATGGGGGAAGAAGATACTCTTAATTCTTCCTGGAAATCTGTCCTAATGAGATACAAAGACACCATTTAATTTTATCCTGGATGCTGCTCATAGGGACTGTCTGTAGTAACACACCACCATGGCTTCCCTATTGGGAAGAATTGAACAAAATAAAGTAAATAGAGAGTGGTGAATTTGGATGGTTTGGTCCTTTATGGTCCTAGTATTCTTTCCCACCATGAAATGCCAACATATATGATGAGGTGTATTTTAAATTTGAACCTTGATTATAAGTAGAATATAGGAAATGCCTTTGATTAACTCACATTGAACTTTTGCTAGTAGGTATGGGCTGTTTCCAAAGAGGAAATGGTCTCAGAGTTTGTATTATGCCATGGGGGGTGGGGGACATTAATTAAAACATTTTTAAAAGGCCGTATTTGAAAAATAATATTCTCAGCTTAATGTAAAGCAAATATTTAAATTATTTAACATGACAACATTTGAAATGTTGTTTTTTTTTTTTTTTTTGCTCACCTAAAGTACATCATGCCTGCTATGTATGTTCCCATGGGTAGTATGTAACACAAATGACTCAGGCCGGACCCTAAGGATTATGTTGATGGGCTTTTGTCTTCTCTTAGCACTTGGACCCTCTGACAATTCAAGAGCCTGGTGAGATGTATCACAAGTTAGAACAAGTGCTTCTTTTGTCCTTTGCTGCTATTTGAAAATGCTGTGAATTAGAATCCTAGAGTAGCCAAACAGACCAGGGCTTCTCAATAGTTGTATGTATCACACCTACCTGGGGAGCCTGTTCAAATGGAGATTTCTGAGCCCTATCCAAGACATTTATTCTAAAGGAGGGTTTTGTGGGTGAGCTCAGAATATGCTGTTTATCTGGCTCTGCCAAGTGAGTTGGCTGTCATCATCAGGGGGCCACACCTGCAGGGGCCCTTCAATTAGGCAATGTGGCAGAGACCCAGAATGCATGGACTTTCTAAGGTATGCTGTTCTCTTTAATACTGATTTATATAGAAGCCCTTAGAGAAGTCACGTTCTAGCTGGCAAGGCAGGCTTAAAGATGACCACATTCTTTGGTAAGAGTCACAATGAGGCAGGTGTTTGGGAAGGACTCTGTGAGACAGTTGTGTAGATGATATCAAAGGAGGGCGTAGGCAGATGGAACGTCATGTATGGCTGGTCAGTGGAATAAAGACTGAAAATGTTAACCTTCAAGGCCTGCAAGGCTGTGGGTGGCCTGGCCCCTGCTCACTTCCACAGCCTCACTTTGAATAACCCCCAAACCTTTTCTTTCTTAGCAGCCTTCGAACATCAGCCCCTTCCTGCTACAACAACCTTGTCACCTGCTCTGACCTACCTTTATTGTATTAACTCCTTATATTCTTCAGATTTCACCTGGTCTTCTCTTCCTGGGGAAGCCTCCCCAACCTCTCTTGGGAGGTTAAATTTCCCTTTCCCTCATAGTGTACTTTTTCTTACAGGTAAAATCAGAGACCAATAGGGTGCTCAGTTAAATTTAAATTCAGATTAAGAATAAACATTTTAAAATATAAATGTCTCAAATATTGCATTGGACATACTTATATTAAAACATTATTTGTTGTTTATATGAAATTTGAGTTTAGGTAGGCACCTGTGTTTTTATTTGCTAAATCTGGCAACTGTTTATAAAGCTCATTAATTGAACCATTTCCTTTAAAAAAATTGAGATTCTTTCATTAATGCCTGTCTGTCCTGATTAAACTCCAGGAGGCCAAGGACAAGA